ATTGTCCAACTGTCAAACAGCTACAAATTATCAGACACGATTTTAGTAAGTAATTAATATTGTAGAAATATCACAGGAATCTGTATAAATATAAATAAATATCATATCGAATATGTTTTTAACAAGCAATTTTGATATTGTCCAACTGTGAAAAGACTACAGAATATCAGACACGGTTACAAAAAGTCACTTCGTCATCGTCCACCTGTGAGAAAATTAAAAAATATCAGATAAAATTAAAAGAATTAATTATTATTATCTAACTATTAAAAGACTGTACTATCAGACAGGTTTTAGAAAGCTAATGTTTATGTATTAGTCCAACTGTCAAATGACTGCAGGATACCGGACACGATTCAAAGTATCAGATAGCTTCCAAATAAATTAATATTGTTATTTCTGCAGCGCGCGTCAAAACATTATGAATGACGCAAAACTGTCCGACCCCGGCGTTGTTTTCCCGAGCAGCACTTTGTTGATAAAAATTCACGCGCAATTCGATTTGCCTGTTAATTGCGAGCCTGTGAAATCGATAACGACCGTGGCCTTGTGTAACCGAGCACATCACCTGTTCGAAGCTCCGCTGCAGAATTCGCATAACTCGTTGGACGCTATGAAACAGTATTCGCGACAGAAGTAGACGGTGACAGGATTGAGCCGTTGTACTTGTCAGAATGACACCGTACTATTACACGTATTGTTATTATTTATGGATCGGTAATTTTATTGTATTCTCCGAGCTGTGAAATAACGATTAGACTGAACTGCGACTATCATCATTTTCGAATTTGCCACGAGTAGCCGAGGAACGGTGATTAAAGTGACGCAAATGCAAATACTTCGTGACGTTCTCGCCGAACGTATTATCCGGGAAACTAATACGATTATATTGTGTTCGTATTACGGCTGTGTTCCTTTCAATCCGACGAAACGAATTCGACCCGCAGACATTGATCCGACACAATGATGTGAACCGGAAATGTATGTCAATTCATAACTTTAGAATCAGTTCCTCGAATTCAAAGGAATATGTATTACAACTTAGGGCACAATTTAAATAAGTAGCTGATATATTGATCGAACTGTCAAAAGACTGTCAAATATCAAGCATGATTGTCAGAAAAGACTGTAAGAATATTAGACACGATTTCAGAACGTATTCTTAATGCCGTCCAACTGTCAAAAGACTACAAAATATACGATACAATTTAAATCAGCAATTGACTTTGTCAAACTGACAGAAGACTATAGTATGTCAGTTACTATTTCAAAAAGTAATTTTGATATTGTCCAACTGTCAAAAGATTACAAAACATATGACACAGTTTAAATCAGCAATTGACTTTGTCAAACTGACAGAAGACTATAGTATATCAGTCACTATTTCAAAAAGTGACTTTGACATTGTCCAACTCTGTCAAAAGATTACAAAACATATATAACTTAAATCAGTAAGTGACATTGTCATTCTGGCAGAAGAATATAGAATATCAGACAAGCTTTCAAAAAGTATCCTCAATATTGTTCAACTGTCAAAAGACTGAAATATCAGCCACTATGTTAAAAAGTAATTTTAGTATTATCCAGCTGCCAAAAGACTGCAAAACATAAGAATACACAATTTCAATCAGTAATTGAAATTATCCATTTGTCAATAAACTGCTGTAGAATATCAGACAATATTTAAGATAGTAACCTTGATATCGTCCAACTGTCAAGAGACTGTAAAATATCAGTTACAATATATATATAAATATTTAATATAGTCCAACTGGCAAAATATTACAGAATATCATTCACGATTTCAAAAAACCTATTTTGATCTCGCCCACCTGTCAAAGGACTGTAATAAACTATCAGACTCGATTTAAACAATTGATTAATATTGTCGAACTGTCAAAAGAACATAAAACATCGGACACCGTTTAAATAAATTATTAACATATTACAGTGTAGCTGTTTCTCGAATGCGTGCTTAAAGTCAAAGTAGTTTTCGAGCAGCTCGGGTTTGTATACGTTAGCCTGAACGAGACTCGCTAATTGCCGATGTTTATGTCGCGTTTCGTTCGTAGCACAGCTTCGTAGGTATCGCGTGTGAATGGGTTCCAAGTGACATCTTATCCCGTTGAATAGATCACTGCTAATATGCGTGTCATGCACCGCGCGTAATTTCCATGGACGGTAATGCCAATACCGTCGAGCGGCAGTTTTAGCATGAAGCGGATGGAGAGGTCCCCTGGGTCCCATGGTCGTGACCCTTAACCACGACGGAATGTTGATCGGTGAATAACCGAAGATCCGCGCGCAGTCGTTAATAGTGACAGTGTCTCGTGGACTATTTATCGATAACGACATCCCTAGGATCGTTCAAAACTATGCGAAATTCGACCAAAATGACCATATTTTTTCCACAGTGGTCATTTCCATTTTAACGATTCTTCTGTGACGTTTAAATAACCACTTCCATCATGAATATATTTCTTTGACGTAAGAGTTTCGCATGCGAGAGCTTTGATTCGGTTTCCTATAATTTAAGACTAGCTTGCTCCATAATCAATCGACTGTTTTTAATGTCATGCAGAACATTTCCATTACCAATGTCATGAGTGTCGACTTTCGAGTTTCGAGTTTGGTAATTCGAGGTTCGATTTTCGAGTTTCAAGTTTCAATTTCGAGGTTCGAGTTTCGAGGTTTGAGGTTCGAGTTTCGAGGTTCGACTTACGAATATCGAGATTCGAGGTTCAAGATTCGAGTTTCGAGTTTCAAGTTTCGAGTTTTGAGATTCGAGTTTCGAATATCGAGTTTCGAGTATCGAGTTTCAAATATTGAGTTTCGAATATCAAGTTTCGACTTTCGAGGTTCGAGTTCGGTAGTTCGAGGTTCGATGCTCGAATTTCAAGATTCGATTTAAAGGTTCGCGCTTCAAGCTTCGAGGTTCAAGTTTCGAGGTACGACGTACGAATATCAAGATTCGAGGTTCAAGATTCGAGTTTCAAGTTTCGAGTTTTGAGATTCGAGTTTCGAATATCGAGTTTCGTGTTTCAAATATTGAGTTTCGAATATCGAGTTTCGACTTTTGAGATTCGAGTTTGGTAGTTCAAGGTTCGACTTTCGAGTTTCAAGATTAGATTTCAAGGTTTGAGCTTCGAGCTTCGAGGTTCGAGGTTCGACTTAGGAATATGGAGTTTCGGGTGTCGAGGTTCAAGATTCGAGTTTCGAGTTTCAAATATCGATTTTCGAGCTTCGAATATCGAGTTTCAAATATCGATTTTCGAGTTTCGAATATCGATTTTCGAGTTTCGAATATCGAGTTTCGACTTTCGAGATTCGAGCTTGGTAGTTTGAGGTTCGATGTTCGAGTTTTAAGATTCGATTTTAAGGTTCGAGCTTCGAGCCTCGAGGGTCAAGGTTCGACTTACGAATATCGAGTTTCGGTAGTCGAGACTCGAGATTCGAGGTTCGAGATTCAAGATTCAACACAATTTTCCTGTAACTAGTTTCTAGTTTAAAGCATAAGAAATTTAAAAGATCAAACTCAAGCTGAAGAAGAAATTTAAATTCATAGATTCAAAATCAAAGAAATCCAAATATAAATTTTAAATTGAAAATCGATTGAATCTAATTACAGTTGTCGGTAAAGCGATTAGTACGTCGGTAAAGCCCTCCAGAAAACACGCACCTTCTTTCTTAATGGTACACTTTCAACAGTGTACTATTAAAACAAACCGAATTACTAAAGTAAAAACCAAAAATTGTTGCCGCTTCGATTGGAACACATCAGACGAGGAAAATCTATTTTATCGATCGATTCACGTATCGCCACGGCAGCGATCGATAATCGATCCAAGCTCCGATCGATTCTCGCTTTACCGGCGGGGTCGGATATTCTGTTACCATACGAGCTTAATGCCATGCTAATCGTATCGATCGACGCATTTTGTCGATCACTCGCATCGAGCCGGTACATTCGAGCGCGTTTTTTATCTTTATTCAATTTCATCGAAATCGGTTCACGCAGAGTCAAGTTGCAAGCGTTAAAAGATTTAAAATAACTGCAGTATTCTCACACTTGTTGGTCGAAAGTGTCAAAAAGTCGGGACAAAACTGCGATTTTTCTGATCTTTAATGTTTTACAGATTGAACCAAGGTCAACCGATTTCGATGAAATTTTCAGTACGCATAAATGTTACAGGATCTACAAAACGTATACTTTAATACTAGATTTACGGAACACAAAAACAGCTGTTTTGTATTAATTTATAAAAGTAACAATAAGACATTTTTATTCCGATTTTTAACAAGTGTTATTGTAACATTTGCTGTAAGTAACATATAAATTGAATAAATAATTCATATATGCATCTTTACAATATGAATAATCGTAAATTAAAAAATTAGTGGCCCGTCATTTTGACGGGTTCCGTAAATCTGGTGTTAAACAGTCGTTATAGGTTCGGATAAAGAAGTTAAAAATCATCAGTTTTCTTTATTATCTTTTTGTCATCCCAAGCAATAGCGAAATTTAAAAAAAGTATTCTAGTTGTGATTTGGTAGACACTTTGTCGTAAAAAAATTCAAGTCGTTCTGTCGAGTTCTAAAAAATGTACATAATTCTGTTTTTAAAGGTATTCGAATATTTTCATCACCGAGTGTATACAAATCGATGACGGATCAGATAGTTGTCGGGAAAGGTATCCATCTGTTGGCGAGCGTCGAAGGCAGCCGCCACAGATCCTTTATTTTTTCCGTTTCTCCTTATTTACATATCTCGTTCGCTTACTTCATCTTCTATCATCTCTTCCCTTTCGTTATTTCTTTTTGATATGCTACTTGTGCGACACATCGTCATACTGTTGTAACGCTGGGACTTCCAAATAAAAAAAATATTATTATCATTATTATTACTATCTTCTGACCGCTAACAAAGCGTGCTATTATCAACTCCACGATCGCCCTTCATTCGATAAGCAAATGAAAATGAAAAAGGCCGAACCAAAAGCTTCTGTTTAATATTTTATTTATTTAGTATAAATTTCATTTATTTATTAAGGACCCTCGTCGAGATACAGACTGCTGCCATAGTGACGACTTGAACCCAATCGACGCCGTACAAATTGTATCAGTCCCCCCTCCCCCCTCCCACCAGAAACTGTCGGAAGTTATCGCGTGACAAAGGACTCGCGAAACGAGATCCCCCGTTGTAATATTGCAGCAGTGATACAGGTACGAGGTACAAAGCGATGCGCGGTAAAAAAAGGAATTTCTACGCCAATGTGGTGGTCCGCTCGAATCGTCGCCCGTGAAGTTCGTCGTTACGATAGGGAACACGGTCGGCATAGGCCGGGCTCTCGATAGTCCCAGTACCGACGGAACGATGAAATTACGCGTGAATGGGAATCTGTGCTACGGTTCGTGATCGTTCAGCTCTATTCCGTTTTGTCGTTGGTCTTGTTGCTTTTGTTTTTGCTTCTGCTGTTGCCGTTTCTGTCGCTTTTCTCGCTGTTTCTCTGCGCTAGCCTTTTCGGTTTGTCCTTAACGTAGTTCTCATAGTAGAACGTGCCGAACATCCAGAAGAAGATCAAGGCATTCAAAGACAGCAGAGCCACGATGCCCTTCGGGTAGTTGCAGCCGTTGAAGAATATCTGAACGTTGTGCAGAAATACGAGGGCGAACTGGATCAGCTGCATTATCGTCAGGTATTTCTTCCACCAAAGGTATTTGTCCATGCTGGGCCCCATCGCGGCCAACAGGTAGTAACTGTACATCACCACGTGGACGAACGTGTTCAGCAAGCCCAGGAAGGTGCCGTGACCGTTCGGCAACCACCTGCAGCCTACCCATGCGCATATCGGCATCAACGTGTGGTGAAACAGATGCAGCGCGCTGATCTGACGATTCTTCTTACGCAACACGAAGAACAGCGTGTCAAGCAGCTCCACCAGCTTAGTCATGAAGTACATGTGCACCGCCTGCGCCATCTGCAAAACACGAGCGAATCAGCTGAGCTCCGCCGATATCGATATAAGAAGCATGGAAAACGCGCTGTGCCACTTTTTCATGACTCACAGGGTAAGCGTAGGTATTAGCGCGGTTTTTTCAACGAAGGCGAACTTCCACAGAAAATTAAGACCTTCTATGCCAATAAATTGACAACTTCAGCTGTAACTATTATTCTTTAACTGGAATATATAACTTTTCTCAAAATTTTGGATCTCAGATTATTATTATTGTGCTCCGAGAGTAAAAATTTCATTGAGAAGTGTAACGTAAAGAAACCGTACGTGTGGATATATTACCGCGGTTATGTATCTATTACTGCGAGCCGAATACTGCGAACGTTCCGATTACTGCGTGTCAAGATGATATAACCCGTGTTCTTTTCAATATGCACGCACAGCTACAATTCCTAGGGTTCAAGGTATTCTCATTGTAGCGCACAAGGTACTCTACGATCGAGCGTGTCGCACCGGCTCATCGAGAGTTCAGTGAAGGACCGCAGTAATGTACACACATAGTAAAAAAACTATGAGGCAAATACTGAGAGAGATTAGTAAATAATATTTGAGGACAGATGATAGTGACGGTGCATGTCGATTTTTTTTTATCGAAGTGACGATTACTTTATCTAAAAATAACGCTAAAATGAGTAGTTAATTATTAATTACTAAGATATAAATGCTGTTACTCGCATGTTACAAGTTATCAATATTAAACGTGTAAAAAATTATGAGATTTATTTGCAGGTGATTACACGCTATAAAATGTCAGATTTTATTACTTTTATAAAATACCGCTGTATTTGGGGCGTCCGCAGTAATTCCCACACTTACGCAGCAGGCTAAACGAGGAGTTCCCGAAGTTATTTCCTTAGCGAAAATGCAATCCGCGGATTTGTTCGCGAATTATTAACGAAAAACATTGACCAATGAGGGATGAGCTCGGCTATCGCGAGGCTTCGTCCACTCGGATAACCTAACCTCTGTATTTCTTTTTGTTATTTTGTGACTGATGAATAACTTCCCGCATATATTCAATAAATAAATAAATAATATGAGCACCGATGTTTCACTAGCGCCTTCCGCGGAAACTCGTGGAAAGAAACGTCTAACGTGCCGGAGATTTTGCGACGGGCTCAGTGTTGCCACCTCTATGGACTTCTTCATGACTTCAAGGGCCCGTAAGACATTTTTATATACGTGGTGTCTCATCGAACTCCAGCATCCAAAATATCTCGCTTCTTTTCTGTAATAGGAAAAAATGTCCGAGGAAACCATCGTTTGATTCAGGGGGACAAATATTATGAAGGGCTAATGAATTCGTTCAAAGTTGCATCTTTTAAGATTTCAATGTTATCGAAGACTTTTCAAATGAAACGACTTGTTTTTATCGTCACTGCAAGATAGACAAGGTCGAGACGAATACAACGACCTACAATGACCTCGGCTATCATACAATGATAAGAAAAACATATCGTTTAAAAAAATCTTCGATGACCTTGAGATCTCAGATGATATATCCTTGAACAAATTTTTTCGCCCATCGTAAGATTTGCATTACATTTTCTTCTATCATAAAAAACAAGCGGAAATATTTTTGATGCCCGAGTTAGGTGAGACATCCAGTACATCACGATTGTTTAAACTATCTTCGGCTTTGATTTATATATATGAAAAGTCCGCGGAACTACGTAGATCCGCTTCGGGAAATCTGCACAATTTTATTATTATTATTATTATATATATATACAATACAATAACAACAAAAATGGTGCAGATTTCCCGAAGCGGATTTACGGAGTTCCGCGGACTTTTCAGTTTATCGCACACAGATTTACGAGATATTCAAGGTGGCAACACTGACAGAGCTAGCTGCAGTCGCTCCGTACACGTCTTAGACCTAACCTGAAATATTTTCTATCAGAGGTCTTCATATCAAATCGCGTCTCTTGCCGACGGAAGTCTGCGACGACCTTCGCGCCGACGATAAATACCATATACGCGTGGTCGCGGTACGAAGCGTTCGCGTCAACAAGGTTAGGGTAAATATTAGTTTCTCAGCGTGATCATCGGGGGAAGGACAGTCCGGGTTCTCTTCCGCCTCGATTAAGGTCGCCGATCTACCAGGAAATCAGACGCGGCTGGCTTCGCTCCTGTATCACAACGAGCCCGTCGCCGACATCATCGTTCCGTTTATGTTTATGCAAATGGGGATTTGTCTGCGGAGCAACCGTAGCTACCGGTGACTCGTTTTACAACACGACCACCAGGCGGCGCGGCGAAGCTTTCTGGAACAGGATCAACGCGCCGTTTGGTCTCGAATTTGATAAACAACCGCGGTCCAGTTATGACACCTTTCGTCGCGCCGCGCCGATAAAAACGAGTTCCGACGCCGTTCGGCGCTCGCGCCGGCGACGTGCGAAGTGAAGGGGCAAAGTATTGAATTCCCGAACGTTTTTAAACCGCGCGTCCTCTGAAAGTTACAGTCCTTGGATCCGTTCGGCTTCTGCACGCTACTTTGTTGTGGCCGTCGATGTATTTCGCCTTTGCGTCCCCGCGAGCCCGGTTGCGCAGTTAATTGGCCGTTTAGAAACATATGAAATGATCGAATACATTTTCGCAACCGTGGGAACACCGCGTCAAATTCCACGCGTGCGACGACCGATCCAGTGCACGGAATAAACTCGATTAAAACTCGCGACAATCGCGACTCCCGCCGAACACCGGTTTCCCGCGTTGTCAACGAACGAGCGAGACATTGCGATCGTTCTGACCACCCGGTACATCGAATGCTCGAGATTCGAGGTTAGGAAACTACGTCACCGACGGTGCTGGTTGATTCCGAATTATTCCCCGGGTCTAGTTAAAGTCTATCCGAACCTTTTAATTTATAAATCTCGTACCCCAGGATGTCAGAGATCGATTTATTTGAATTTTACAAAATGATCTCGTCATTCTATTGCAATCTAATTTATGCTGCCTTCAAGTAAACACTTGCAGCTTTCATTTGAGCGGAGTTCGATAGAAATAGCTCAACAGGAATGTATTTTAAAATCGATCTGAACTGTCGCTTTGGATTCGTGTAATTTTCCTTGTCTTTTCCTAGGTGTCAGAGCTCCGCGAACGGATTTATTACGCAACCTAATACAGGGTGTCCCAAAGGTTACTCAAAATCGGGAAATAAGGGGTTCCTGAAGTCATTCGAAGTAACTTTTTCCTTAGCGAAAATGAAATCCGCGGCTTTGTTTATTTACCAATGAGAGGCGAGATCGGCTCGTTGCCGCAATAGCCGGTGCACCAGCCGTACCCGCTCTCTCATTGGTCAGTGTTTTTCGTTAATAACTCGTTAACGATGCCTCGTAGAACATTTTTGTAAAGGATAAGGTTACTTCAAACGACCCGAGGAACCCCTTGTTTCCCGATTTTGAGTAACTTTTGGGACGCCCCGTGTATCTCGTTTGTCTTTCAGTATCTGTTTCGAACAGCATCGTAGCACGAGGTACGTACCCTAAGCGCCAACGGGTTATCGGAGTAGTCGATCGGCTGACAAGTGTAACTATATTCGTACAACCATCCGCTGTTCAGAGCCTCAGAGAAGAGATATACGCTAATTATCACTTGTCCGATGTTGTACACTATCATCACGTACTTCAAGTCGTATGGTTTTTTGTCCCTCATGTACCTTGGGCCAGCCGACGTCGAGAAGTAGAGGTAGCTGGCCAGGATCACCAGCAACGGTCCTGGATGCCTCATCAGGAACCAGTCGACGGTCCTTGGATCTGCGAAACACGTGCGTTCCGTCACAATCGTTGGAAAAGTTTATTCATTTTCGATTTTTTGTTTGTTCTGACAAAAGCAGGATTTACGAATTGGACTGTGGATTTTGGTCTCGCGACTTATGAAATCACTCGTGCGACTCTCATCAATTTTTGTCAATACTTTATTGACAAAGTCAATATTTATTGTCACTTTTTTTTATTACTTTTATTTCGTATTTATTCATTTAATAAATAGTCGATGAATCGTTATTATATATTTATTAAAAAGTCTATAGATCCGGGAATTATTCGAAGGGACGGAATTCTGGTACAGTTTTAGCTGCTATCACGGACGATGCAAAATTTACGTTGGCAACACTGCATAGGTAGCTCTCGCATGCGGCAACAGAAGCAAGACATTTTTTCATTTCGCATGAAAATGGATCACGTGTACGTGAGATCTGTCTTCGACTAGGTCTACGCTAGATTTTGAAGTTCCTTTTTTATTGCAACGTATTCGGGGCTAACTGAATGTTACTAGAATTCTTAGTAGAGTTAACCTAAAATTTTTCCTACGGTAGATTCTCGCTTTCTACTAAATTAATTTGGTTTTTCTAACTTCGGTGTCACGCTGACTTCGATGTTGAGGCAATTTTTCCTCGATTTTGTACAGGTAACGCGTTGCCATCCAGTCTGTGTCAATTTCCGAATAAAATCGAACGAAGTAAGATGTTCGTCGCGATTAAATTTTTGTCATCGTTTACCTCGTTTTCACGCTACTTTCGATTCGCGCAAATGTAGAAACAATGCAAAGACATCGAGCCCGATATTTATGACAATTCGTTAAATGCAAACACGACTGAAAATTCGGCCAATCCACTTTAGTTTGGCAAAAAGGCATGCAGCAGGAAGGTGGTGGCAGTGTTTGGTGCAGGTTTAGCATGAGCAACGTAGCGCTTTACCATATTTGTTGTACATGTAGTCTTTGTAGGTCTCGATAATGCCCGACATTGTCCTCGGTGGTTCTTGAACGGTCGTGTCTGCAACAGAAAAGCAAACTGTAACGGCGCAACAATGCTGGCGAAACCGTTTCGAAGAGTTCGGCCCCGGTTATCCTTGCCCGGTGGCAACGCCGATACCTCGCCGAGATTATTGTAAACGCGACAATACCAGCGGTGGGTCGTGCACAATTCCGAGCGTAATTGCTCGCTGAGTGCCGGCCGGTAATCGTGCCCCCGTCCGGTCGTCCCTGAGGACTACCGGGGACTACTACTCGTCTTCCAATGAATTACTACACTAGAAGGGGAAGGACGACAAACAGCTGTAGCTCTAGAGACGTCCCGTGATCCCCGAGTCAGACTTGGATTATTATTCGAATCAAATTTTAGTCGAGAGAAATATCATCAAGAAATTCTTCGAATACAATTTCGTTTGTAAAATATTTCGAAGAAATTCTTCGAATAAAATTTTTATTCCGGCGCTGTTTTCAATAAATTCATCGAATACAATATTATTTGTGTAACGTTCTGAATTAATTCTTCGAATGAAATTTTATTCGAGAGTTGTTTATAATATGTTTTTTAAATACGATTTTATTTGTACAGTATTTCAAATAAATTCTTCGAATACAATTTTATTTGTAGAATATTTCGAACAAATTCTTCGAATAAAATTTTATTCCAGCTGTCTTATTCCAAATCTTATTCGAACTGTATTTAATTTAGACGAACTATTTTTGTTATTAATGAATTTTTATGAGTATCGAATATCAAATTTCGAATTTCGAGTGTCGAGGTTCGAGTTTAAAGTTTATAGTTTTGAATTTTAACTTTCGAGTTCCGTTGTCCAAGTTTCGAGTGTCGAGTTTCGAGTTATGAATTTCAAGATTCTTGATTCAAGTTTCGAGTTTCGAGGTTCGAGGTTTGAATTCCGAGGTTCAAGTTTCGAGGTTCGAGTTTCGAGATTCGAGTTTCGAGTTTCGAAATTTGAGGTTCGAGGTTCGAGATTCAAGATTGGAGGTTCGAGTTTCGACAATCGAGATTTGGGGTTCGAGGTTCGAGATTCGAGATTCAAGGTTCGAGTTTCAAAATTTGAGGTTCGAGGTTCGAAGTTCGAGATTCAAGATTGGAGGTTCGAGTTTCGACAATCGAGATTTGAGGTTCGAGGTTCGAGATTCAAGATTCGGGGTTCGAGGTTCGAGTTTCGAAGTTCGAGGTTCAAGATTCGAGGTTCGAGTTTCAAGGTCACATTTCGAGGTTGGAGGTTCGAGTTTCAAGGTTTGAGTTTCGAGATTCGAGGTCGAGTTTCAAGGTTCTAATTTCGACATTCGAGTATTATTCCAGCATTATTCTCAATATATGTTTTGAATACAAGTTTATTTGTATAATATGTCGAATCAATTCCTCGAATACAATTATATTTGTATAATACTTCCAATAAAGTTTTAGTTGAGCACTATTTTTAATAGATTCTTAAAACAAAACTTGACTCGAGTAATATTTTGAACACAATTTTATTAGAAATTTATTAAATAAGTGACAAATGCGAAGAAAGAACTCCTAATACTTTTCTTCGAACATTATTGCAGTAAATAATGTAATGTAATAAAAACTGGACAATTTGGGAAGAAGAGATACGATTACTCGAGCCTCGCGGCTTTTTTTTATAATCACCTATTGTCAACAACTATAAACACGTACCTCAAAATAAATAAATAAGTAAATAAAAAAATAAATAAACAATTAAGTAAATAAATAAATATTTGGTTTCATACATTCATGACGAAAAGTTGGCGGGTCATATTTATAATAGTAAATTCTGGTTAAAAGAATTTCATGTCTTCCGTGAAACTTTCTAACGACTCACGCCGACGAAGATTGTTATTCGGAAGAATCATCCCCCAAATACGGATCGAACGAAAGACGAGGAAACGGCATTCATGGGAACGGAAAAAACGGCGGACTGTCGCCAGGATGGTTCTCGGACAGTGGCCTTGGACACGCGCCGAATAATTATCGCCTCTTTCTAATTGCACCCCGAGCAATTACGCGAGCCGCGCGCAATCAGCAGAGCCGGAATTGTCGTATATCGCGGCGGACGACGGATTGGCCGAGCTAATTGGCGAGGAACCCGACAAATCGTCGTGATTATCACTAAAATCGTCGTCTCGATCGAGTGGATAGCGAAACGAGGATAAGTGCGTTGCGAGATGGATGCGAGTCGCTTCTGTGTATAGTTCGCCTCTACAGTCAGATCGCCGTATCTAAACCATAAGTTCATAATATCAACAGAATACATAAGTTAGAGTATTCCTATCGTGTGAAAAATTAATGAAATAATTATTTGCTTGCCACGCGAAATATCGTACAACTTTTTTGCAAATTAATAATTAATCGAAGTCATATTTCATGAATGGATTTCTATTGTGTATCATTTGTTTATACATGATACTGTATATAAATTAATACACTAATCAAATAAAACAGTAGAATATGAATTATTATTTATTTTGTTTGCCACGCGAAATATTATACAGCTCTTTTGCAAATTAATAATTAATAGAAATCATATTTCATCAATAAATTGTATATTGTATGTTTATACATGATACTGTAGATAAATTAATATATTAATCAAATAAAACAACAATAGAGGATTAATCAATTTTGTCAATCAGCTTATTTCTGCTCTAGATTTATCGGAAAATGTTTGATTGACGTCGATAACCCAACTGTGTCCTCCCCTTGTAAGTCATCGTTGAAAAAACAACAAGGGACAATTATTTATACCGAATTTATTTATTCGGAATTTTCTCATTGGCTGCACTGTGAAGACATCTAACGTTCGTTTCATAGCTATGTTACTGGCTCCGTCGTGGAGAAATTTGGAACTGACACGATTGCTGTTCAAATAATTTGTTAACTGTTTGTTGCTTCACTTAGAATCGTTAGTTATTGACTAAGCGAGCACTGCTCCGTAACGTATTTGATTTCGAAGTACTCAATGGAAATTTAAATAGTTTGTCATCCGAGAATACTGAAAATTCCTTTCACTGACCAGAAAGTTCCTTAGAGTGACGATAAAAAATAACGATACAATTGATTTTGACCAAAAAATTCTGAAGAAAAATAGAAAAAAAGCCGATATTACTTCTAATTTCAAATATTCCACGAACGACTCGTTAATCTATCAAGCATTCGTAAAGATAAGGCACACTTTTGGATTGAGAAATGTTTGCGAGGTTAGGGATGCTGTTAACAATGGCAGCAATTTTAATCCAGGAAGAACTAGAAAGCCGAAAGAGCCCATCAGTTATCTTTTAAAAGTCGGTCTTCTAATTCCAGAGATTCGTCAATATTTAGTGCATTCATAAAAATAAGGCACACTTTTGGATTGAGAAATGTTTGTGAGGTTAGGAATGCTATCAACGATGACAGCAATTTTAATCCATGGAGAACTAGAAAACTGGAGCACTGCACAGAAGCAACTTTAAAAAAGCAGCCTCGTTTTCCACAAATCTATCGAGTAAACCTAAATACAAAAGCTCAATAATCGAATGAAAAATGAATAGGAGATTAGAAACCATTCAATGAGGTTGGCGGTTTTAATCAATAGAATATCACGTTTCCTTTTCTCTCGAGTGTCAGAGGAGGACCAGAGAATTGAGCGTACTGCATGAGATACGAAAGGCGACCACGATCGGCGGACTGATGACTCTGCATCGCTAGCGAACGAGGGGTGGGGAGACAAAAGATCGGACAATAGTGGAATGAGAAGAAGGTCTCTTGGAACTGGGGATGCGGCTCGGTGCGTGACTTGCGGAATTGCGAATATGAGAGCAAAAATCTCACTGCAGGAGGCATCAACCACGGATTCAAGGTGAACTACATCATAAACAGGGGCAGTCCTTTTCTTCCCTCTATAAAGATGCATCTTTATAGAACCGGTGACTCGAATCTGTTGATCAGCATTCCGATTTTTACGCCAGGTGTGATCACCCTGAAACCATTCTGGGATTCCCCGTGGACGTCAATCGGGCCCTATTGACGTCACGCGAGACCAGTTCGCATCCTAATCTCACTTTCGAAATGGATTTACACGTCCCTTATGGACCACCGGAGCAGTTCCTACCGGCGAATTCTAAAATGTTCGATGTTTATAAATGCCACGTTTTAATTAGAACGATGACAACAGTGGCTTTTTATTTTAAACTGTAAATGTAACTGCTCCGGTTCGAAAGAAACGTTTGCCACGATGCAAGCAATGGAAAATCAGTTCGTGAAAGCACGAAACGAATGGTATCTCGATCCTTTTAAGAAGAATGTCGATAAGATCGTAAGCAGCGACTTTCGATTGGAGTTGTTGGAGAATTTTAAGTACCATAGAAAATCGATCGTCCGGATCACCAATGTCTGACTTATTAATTACCCGAATTCGTTCCACGTGTTGAGTGTTCAATCCAAACTGATGCAGAGCAACTAAATTAACTTCGTAAATCGGAAAAAATGTCTGGTATTCTTGCAACTGGATAACTGTTCCATTATCCGAACATTTGTCTCTCCAAGATTGGCCCGGATAATTGAGTTCCTGCTGTATTTTGTCTCGAGAAATATATCTGGTGCGCTGTGCATAACGAAAAATAAGCTTGCAACAGTTCAATAGAATTGTTCAATTCACTGTACGTGAATGGAGCTCTAAGTATTGTCACTCTGAACTTCGTACGCAATTTTAGCAATTTTGGTTTAAGAAAACTATCTCGTTGCTTACAAGAATTGAACAATGAGATCAACGACGAATATCTGACTTCTTTAAAAAGAGTGTCGACGTAGACTTAAATGGTGACCCTCTGGACTTCCAATTATATTTCGAGGTACAGTAGAAACTCGATTATACGTAGCTCCAACGACCGACTCAATAATTCTCAAAAGTCCCGCGTGTAAACGGTTCAACCTAGAACGGTGCATGGCAACTAAGTAAATAACAGAAGTCGGTGAAAATGTTGGACAGACTTCCAACTAATTAAGGGTTCCGTTATCCAAAC